GAGCAAGCAAGTCTAGTTTAATCAAATCCCAAAAGTGCTGATAAAACAGGAAGGAGAAGCCATCTGGGCCTGGGGCCCCTTCAGCATAAGAGCCAAAGATAGCAGTCTTGATTTCATCCTCAGAAAAAGGAGCATCAAGCTTTTCATTATGGGCCCTAGAAACTAATCCATCCTCTCCCCAAAACCCTTCCTTAAGATGAATATTAGGCTGAGGGGTAAAGCCAAAAAGCTTTTTATAAAACTGAACAGTAAGGTATAGGATACCTTTAGGGTCTTCAACAGGTCCATTCTCTCCCTCCAGCATTCCAATCTGTTTTTTCCTTCTTTTCTGGTTTGCAACAGCTTGAAAATAGCCTGTATTTAGTTCCCCCTCCAACACTTCTCTCTCTCTAGATCTCTGTCTGGCCTTAGTTTCTTCCTTTCTCCATATGTCCTGCAACTCACCTGAATTTTTTTTCATTCTCTCTTTAGAAATAGGGGATAAAGGTTGAGTTTAGCCATTATATCCAAGCAATTATATTCAGCAACTAGAGACTGCTTAAGCCTATTCTTAGCAGCTTCTATATTAATACTCCAGCTCTTAAGGACCTTTCTTAACAGCCTAATTTTAAACTGCCAAATATCAATTGCTTTGGTATGTATACACTTGGTATTCCAGGTTTTGTGAACTAGTTCATCAAAACCTTCCATACCAATCCACCATTTTTCAAATCTAAACATCTTATGTTTAGCAGCAGGTATACCCCCAGAGTCCAACAGCAGAGGTGTGTGATCACTGGCCACCCTAGGCAGTGCCTTCAAATGTACTGCAGGGAACATAGCTTCCCAGTCAGTAGTTACAAAGACCCTGTCCAGAGTTGCCATAATCATATCCTCCTGATTGTTACCCCAAGTAAACCTCCTACCAATATTGCTAATCTCTATCAGACTGAATTTATTAATCCATTCATTGAACAGATCAGCCCAGTGATGATTAATAGCACCAGTTGATTTCTCAGCAGCAGTTCTAATAAGATTAAAATCCCCACCTACAATTGTGGGACCACTCCACCCAACTACTACATTGTGTAATTCATTAATAAAGTCAAGCTTGCCTTCATCATACGCAGAACCATAAACAGAGATAAGTCTCCATTCTTTAAGGTCCTTTCTATGTTTAAGAAGGCAAGAAACACAAAAATTATGTATGTTACAAGCTATGATCTCAAAGGTATCCTCCTTAAGACCAACTAATATGCCTCCAGCTGTATTCACTGCAGGCAGCCATTTCCAAAGAAAATCATTCCTGGAGCCTAAAGCTTCCAGTTGAGACAAGGTAAAATCATTTTTCTTTGTTTCAGAAATACATACAAAATCAGGGCAGTGTGCTTTCATAAGCTCTTGCACTCTCAAGCTCTTATGAGGCCCATTTAGGCCCCTAGCATTCCAAAATAACCCTATCATTTATCAGGGAAATAAATTTTCCTCCTAGATCTACTCCCTTTTTTACTGCTCACCTCAAGCCAAGGATGATCAGTCTCCTGTATCTCACTAATGTGAGTACTAGAAGAAGGGAAATCAAAATTTAAATCAGGTTTCTCACCGTGAACAAAATCCTCCCAACTAACATCAATGTTAGGTGGTAGAAACATGTCAGGGTTGTCCTGATGGAATTTATCTAATCTAGCATCTTCCAGCTGCTTGATGATCTTAATATTACCAGTGATTTGAGTTGGATCCTTACCAAGGATCACCCCAGCTTTATCAGCTATGTTAGCCAGTACATTATCATCTAAGCAACTAAAAGAATTCTTAAAACCAGGATTTTTCTTACCTTTTGGTACTTCCAGATTTTGGATTTGTTTCAGCTCCTGAGCTTTCTTTAGGCTGGGTACCCCACTTCTCTGGATCCTGGCACTGACTCTTGTAGCAATGACATGTCCCCACTTACCCTTGCCATTGGGGGGGGGGGTTCCAAGATCTTGTCCCCTTTTCCTTTACAATCCACTGCCTCTTCAAACTGAGCTAGCAAAGGTCCAGAGATGTTCAAAGCAGGTTTTTTCTTAGCTACCTCCAGATAGCTTTTGGCAAGTGGAGCACCTTGTCCTTTTTTAACAAAGATTTTCTCCATGTCAGCTGTAGGAGCAGGGGTAACAAGGGCCAGAGTATTTCCTGTCCCTCTTGTTGTGGGGGTGGGTCTACCATCAGGTGCAGGTGTCTTTCCACTTTCATGTCCTCTCCTCATTTATTCACCGAGAAGGTCATCATCCTCAATTTCCTCATCCTCCTCTTTATCTTGTTTAGCTTGATCATCTTCACTAGGATCACTGGGGTCATGTGGTGAGGCCATAAGAGTATCATCCTCCACTCTGAAGGTCAGCAGAAATAAATCTTGACAGAATTCAAAAATTCTATCCTCAGGAATTTTTGTGGGATCTCTGACAGCTACTTGGACTCTAACCTTCTCATAAAAACTCCTGAAAATGCCATGCGAGTCAACATTCAATAAGAAACCCAGAGAGGATGTAATCTGAGCAATTACATTCCAAGAGCACCACTTAGGTGGGAGTCCTCCAATTTCAATCCATATTTCCTGTAGACTGTCATAGGCTGGGTGCTCTCCATTCCAATCCCTAAACAGGATGGTCACCCCTTTCTTCTTGAGATTGATGGATGGATATTCAACCAGGTCCTGGATCTTTTTGTTGGGTGGAAATCTGACCAAATATTGTTTCTCATCATAAGCTCTGATTTGCCATGGCCAGTTAGTCTTCCACATATCAGTAAAGCATTTCTCCAGCTCCTTGGCACTGATCTCACCCTCCTGAACAAAAACCAGCCCAACATTACCAAAGTTGAGCCAATCAGCATCACTCTTTTCCCCAGTCTCAATGTGGTAGAATCCCAGACCACTGTTTGCACTGCCCAAGTACTGGCTGAAAGGATAGGCTTTATACCAAGTTGGACAGACATCCATATGTTGACCAGGGTTTCTGCAGATGAAACAAATTTTTGGGACAGAGCACATCCCCACGAAGTGACTAGGCAGACCGCAGTTGTAGCATATGGCACCTGCATACTTAGGATCTATGCGAAAAGGTTCACCGGAATCTGAACTTTGATCCGTCTCATCAGTTTTCCTCTGTTCAGTCTTTCCAGTAGGTTTCTTCGACTTCTTCTTGCTCTTGCCTGCGCCAGCCTGCCCACTGCTACCTGCTTGACTCCCACTGCTCTGCATTGGCGCAAGAAAGCTTGCCGGGTGCCCTGCAGGCGGGGGGATGAACTGGTATGGATACTGCGGCTGTGGCACCCAGGGACCCATAGGAGCAAAGTGCGGGTTCCACCCCCCCATACTGAGGGTACGTCTGCGCCCCGTGATTCATCATCGGTGGTGCCGCAGCCAAGGGAACAATTGGAGGTTTGGCAAAAATGGAGACAGGAGGATTAGATCTGACGGGGGTCACCTGGCGGACTGGAGGAGGCGGATGAGCAGCTGGTTCAGCACCCTGCGCCGTAGGGGGAATTATACGCCCTCCTTCATTCCTCCCCCTCCCCGCACCGTATCTCCCTCCTCTGGATCCTTGCCCTCCTGCGCCTGCCATCTTCTTCACGATCGCCGCGTAAGGAACTCTTCCTTCACGTCTCCCCCAGAAATCCCTAGAGAATTTGAAGAACTTAGGATTTGGCAGCCAATCAGTCCGCCCCACAGGATGACAATCATCCACCGAGAACACGCCTGACTGGAACAGATCCTTCCGCACCCATACCAAATTAGAGAGATCTCCCCGGCGGTGACGAGCCCTAGCTGAGATTTTATCCTTTTTTGCAGCCCACCGCGGAAGCGGATTTTGAGAAAGCACCTTCACCTGTTGACTCGCTTTTCCCAACTTTCCCTCTCTGATCACTGGGCCTTGTACATCCAAGTCGCTGGCATGTGGGGGCCTCCTCCATGCGCCTCTTGTCGGGGAGCGCAACAATGGCGACGGGGAGGGTGGCCGGCTCCGCCGGTGAGCAGCACCCCAAACCACCACCCCCTTCTGGGAGGTCGGCACCTCCATTGATCCAACGCAGAATGTATCAGACGGAAGCCTCAAGCAATGTCCCTAAACAGCGCCCACCTCCTGCGCTGAATGCGAGAGCAGGATCAACTTTGTTTCTTCCTACCCATTCCACACTTGTTGGGCCACCACACAATCAAACAACAAGTGTTGAACAGTTTCAGGTTCTGCACAGAATAAGCATGAAGGATCTTCCACTTCCCTTCTCTTCGCAAGGTTATTTCTAGTTAGTATCTTGTTATGAACACACAGCCACAAGAATACATGAATATTCTGTGGACATAAATTTTTCCACATTTTAGGGCTAATATTCGAAACCACCCCTCCAAAATTGATCTGTTTATAGAAAGATTTAACTGAAAAAATCCCACTTGGTTCTAAACCCCAAATTGGGGTATCTGTTTCCTCTCTCGGGGGATGTTGTTTGACCATATCAACGAGCTGATTCCAGCGTTTCAAGCCAATATGGTCAACGCACCTCCTGAATGTAGGTTTCTGCTGGTCTCATGCTCGAGTTCCATGAAAGCCTGTCCTGGCCGCCGCAGGCGAGCTTGCTGGCCACCACCACGGCCAAGGTTGCTCCGGTAGCGTGCCGGGATTAATGGCTCAGGACATGTTCCGCTGCTGGAATTCGACATTGCAATAATGAAGAGCTGCAAAAGCAACTCTCATAATAATTCAGAACGTGATATTAGTAGTCTCAACCTATTGGGGTGAATTGGGATCATCTGCTGGGGATGCTCTTGTAATTCCCTTGGTTGCCAGAGAACGTGGTACGTAACCCATGACCACGAGGACGAGACATCTCACCGGACATGCAAACTAATGAAAGTACATTAGGTGCTAAAAATACATTTTATATGTCTGCATCATTACTCTCTCCCTCCACACATGCATTGCCATATATACCGAGCAAGGTCGCACCTGCTCGGTCACTCTAGCTAACTGCGTGCCTCATCCGCCATGGCCGAGAACAACCATGACGCCGCAGAGGAAGGAGACGGGCAGCTCCTGTCCACGCTCCCGAAGAAGGAAGGAATGTGGAAGCCATTCTTCCTCTACCGAGGCTGCTGGCTCACACCCCGGGCCGTGACGAGCATCACGCTCCTGCAGTCCGAGTTTGCGCCGCGCCCCGACGACGTCGTCCTCGCCACCTTCCCGAAGTGCGGCACCACCTGGCTCAAGGCGCTCGCCTTCGCCGTCGCCAACCGCTCCCGCCACCCCGTCGGCTCCGGCGCCCACCCGCTGCTCACCACCCACCCTCCGGCGTCCATCGCGACGTCCACCCGGTCGCCGTCCTTGACAAGCTCCCCTCCCCGAGGCTCCTCTCCACCCACATGCCGCCGTCGCTGCTGCCCCCGCGCATCTCCGCCCTCGGCTGCCGCGTCGTGTACCTGTGCCGGGAGCCCAAGGACGTGTTCGTTTCCAGCTGGCACTACATGAACAAGGTGAGCGCCGACTTCTCCCTCGACATGGACGCCACCTTCGAGCTCTTCTGCGAGGGGTTCTCTCTGTACGGTCCTCTCTGGGACCACGTCCGCGGGTACTGGGAGCAGAGCGTGGCGGAGCCCGACAGGGTCCTCTTCCTCAAGTACGACGACATGATGGCCGACGCAGGCAAGCACGTCAAGATGCTCGCCGAGTTCCTCCGCGTCCCGTTCACCGTGGAGGAGGTTAGCGGCGGAGCCGTGGAGGAGGTCGTGGCCCTGTGTAGCTTCGAGAATTTGAAGAGCCTGCCGGTCAACTCTTCAGGAGTGTCCGATCGGATTGGTGGGTTGCCCATGGAGAATTCGTCCTACTTCCGGGCTGGGAAGGTGGGGGACTGGAAGGCACACTTGACCGAGGGAGTTATTTATCCAAAACCATCACACTTGGGGTTAGGGTAATAACTTAGTACCACTTTTCAGACAGGGCATAAAAAACCATCAACTTTGTGCCTAATGACTAACGAAGAGCACTGATTGTCTAATAAGCACGCGAAAACAGCAAAACTGACAAGTTGGGTCCACCTGTCAGGCTGATGTGGCTTGCTTGTATGGACAATATGCTGAGTTGGACAAGGGTCCCACCTGTAAATGACTCAAGTGTTTATCTCTTTTCCATTTTTTTTCTTTTTCTCGTGGGGATTTTCTTCCTGGGCGTTTCAACAAACAGGTAATGGGCATTTCTTCCTGCACGCCGCCGGCACAGCTCGCCGCCCTTGCTGGTCATCCAAGACCTGGCCGCCGTGGCCAGCCGCTGGAGTTCCCCTCGCCGCTCCTTTCTTTTCCTTCCCCCTCCTTCCTCCCTGATCTCTCTATCAAACGAGAGCCAGCTGCCATGCCGACCGCCATGGATGAACTCCACCTCACCGCGCCGCCCCAGCCCTCTACCACGCCTGGATCCGGCAAGTTTCTGTCGGTAACTCGCACAACGCCGTGGAAGAGCACCATGGCCGCGCCCGTGCTCGCGACGCCCGCGAGGAGGCCTTGGCCGCGCGTGCGTTATGGAGCACCATGGCCACGCCCGTGCTCGCACGGGCCAAGGTACGGCGTGCCTAGGTATGGCGGCGCCGGCGCCGCCGTGCACCGCAGCACAACAGCTCCAGCACTCGGTCACCGGCGCTCCCGTGTAGGCCGCGGACGCGACTTCCTGCACCATACCTGGTCACGGGAGGGAGCGTGCTGCTCTCCACGATAGCACAGCCGCTGTACGTGGACGCCGGAGCAGAAGAAGAACGGCGCGGCAGCTGACTAGTTGGGAGGATCCGTGGGGTCCGGCGAAGGGAGGCGAGGATCTGGAGGGCAAGAAGGCAAACGATGGGATCTGGCGACCGGAGCTGTGTGGATGCGCCTCGATGGCTCCCTCGCTGGATTGGGCGGCGTCGCAGCCGAGTGCAGGAAATCATGCTCGCGTTGACTCTGCAATTTGTACGGAGAAAAGGGCAGAGATGGGAGGAGGAAGAAGTGTGTGGGGGCTGACAGTTGGACCCGCATCCACCTCAGCAATTTGTACATATAGACATGCCACATCAGCCTGACAGGTGGGCCCAACCGATCAGATCCGCTGTGTTCGCGAACAAATTCGAGAATCAGTGCTCTGCGTTACGTATTAGGTGCAATTCTGGTGGTTTTTTGTGCCCTGCCTCGTATGTGGTACTAAGTTGTTACCCTAGCCCCAAGTGTGGTGGTTTTGGGTAAATAACTCTGACTGAGGAGATGGCAAAGAAGCTGGACGACATCGTTCAAGAGAAGCTCAGAGGTTCTGGTCTCGCCTTCTGACGCGTGATTGCATCTCTTTAATTTGATGGCTACAGAGGTCTTCTACTGGAGAGCTGAATTACATACTCGCATGAACATGTATCCGTGTTCAAATTCGATGATGCGATGCATAAATAAGTTGTGAATGAATGTGCGTATTCGAAAAAAGAAGCATAAATCAGTTGTTGTTGTGCCTTTGTTTATGCTACTTGAGAAGAGTTCGTGGAAGTGAAAAATGTCATGTGTTTTCCTTATGAAATGGACACTATTACTGTGTGAAGATAATGCAAGTCTCCACCATAATTACCACTCAAGAGCACATGATAATATAATACCAGAAAAGACAACACGGGAACCAATGGTCAATCAGCACACAAGAGCGATCGATTTTTTTTGAACAATCATCGGGGGAAAGAGGGTCCCAGCTAAATATATCACTCAAAGTGCCACATGGGCAAAGTCACAGAGATGTGCGAGAGCACAAGGCAAGGTAGTGCTGGGAAGACACCTTCTGACTAGCATTTAAATCTGAATAACCACAAAGTAAAAGTCCGATACAATGTTTCTAATGGTTACTGAAGGGGCATGCACTACATTCCTGAAGAGAAGGGTATTTCTAGAGTCTCAAATCTTGGAAAGCGCTGCATTCGACTACTGAAGAGAATGAAGGGAGAAAGCAATACCTGCAATACGGCTAAGTTTTTTTTACTGGTGGCGGGATGTACCGGTGGAGAATCAGCCATCCATGCATTTAGGGATTCGTGCAGCTATTTAAGGTATAGAACAAGTTAATGGAATACAAATGGAATACATGTGGGCCCTTTGCATGTCATTTCAACTTTTGTTAGGAGAGAGAGAATGTGTCAATCGAAGCACAACGTTGTATCATTGCATGCATGTTAAAATATCTTATCTCCACATACACTGAACATGCATTTTATTTTCATTTTCAGATTTTTAATGATTCATATCTTTTGAACCAAAAGTTCATTATTAAAACTTTTTATATATTTGAACTCATGGTGTGAAGACCTTCAGAACAAGATCAATTTCTGATATATTTGAACTACATTTTTTTGCATATATTTCAATTATCTGCGAAATCAGTTTCATAAAACAATTAAAGGTTTCACTATTTCATATAAGTGTTATCTATGGTTTCAAAAGAAAATCACAAACTAACTTCACTCATTTGATTTCACTCGTTTTGAATAACTCATTGCAGTTCTTTAAAGAAGCCGATTTCACTCAATTGAAAAAACAAGTTCATAAAATAGATTTTGCTCGTTTCAGAAATTATATTTCATTCATTTCAAGAAAATATTTCAATCATTCAAACAATGATTTCAGTTATTTCATCAAATTAGTTTCACTCAATTCGAAAAACCTATTTCACTTAATTCAGAAAAAATGTATTTCACTTCTGTCAGAAAAGTATTTCACTAATTTGAAAAGGCACATTTCACTCCTTTGAGAAATTTATTTTTCATGAGTTAAAAAAAGGTTTCACTCATTACAAAAACACTTGGTTCACGTATCTTAAATAAACTGATTTCACTTATTTGAAATAACTGATTTCACTCAATTTAGAGAAAATAATTTCACACAATTAAGAAAACAAGTTTTAGTCGTTTGAAAATACAGATTTCACTCAGAAAAAGCATATTTTGGAAAAGTGAGTTTGTTCATTTTAAAACACATATTTCACTTGTATCAAATAACTAGTTTCAAAACTTTGAAATAACAAGTTTCACGTATTTCAAACCGGAATATCTGTCATGTGTATGAAAAAAAAGATTTCACCCATTTCAAGAAAACAATTTCACTTATTATAGAAAGGTTATTTCACTTATTTCAAAACAACTATCATTTTTTAACAATTTCAGTCGTTTCAAAACTGGATTTCACTGAATTCTAAAATAATTTCACTTATTTCAATACACGGATTTTTAACATAGTTCTGACAACATAAATCTGTTTGAAACGGTAAAATTGAAACTAGTTTAAATGCATTAAAAATTGGTCTTGTTCGAAAGGTCTCGTCGCTAGGAATTCAAATATATAAAAAGTTTCAAAAATAAATTTGTAGCTTAAAAGATATGAATGATTGAATTTATCTAAAGAGAAATAAAAGGACATGAATTTAGTGAGGGAGAGATGAGAGCGATTGTGCCCGTGTTATGCATGCTGGGGAGGAGAGATAATGAGCGTGTTTGGTTTCTTTGCTCGCACCTGCATCACACCAGGCATGCAAAAGCTGGCCTGTTTGGTGTCTTGTGCGACCTTCTCAGCCTGGCTCAACTGATGCAAAAGTAGGCCTCCCAGCCAGGCTGAGAGGAACGCAGAAATTGAGCGTTCCTGCGATGCAGCCTCGCGCTTGCACCCGCGCTTCCACTTAAAGCGAAGCGGTATACGAGAATGACCCTACTATTGTCTAGAATTACTTCAAAACTGCCACCTCAACTCTCTTTCCTCTACTCACAGATCGGATCGAGGAAACAAATCAATCGCTGCGGCCGCTGTCTGGAGCTTCTTCTTGCGCCGCCGGTCAGAGCTACCACCTCCGCAACTGGCAAAGCCCCCTCGCCCGTCTCAACCCCGCCATCCTACCTCCCTCTTTCGCCACCGGTTCGAGCTCCATCATCCGTTGCGAGCCCGTCACCGAACGTCCATGCTCCTCTACTCGCCGGTACCTGGATGTGCGTGCTTGCAAGAGCTGTGTTGGAGGAGGAGGCATGCCTGTGCCGGCTCGGCCCGACCGCCGGTGGTCGCAGCGGCGCCATGGGGCGCTGGTGGTGCAGGAGCTCACCAATTTCACATACAGACTTCCAAACACCATCTCACATTGGCCTGCCCAATATCATACACACAACCAAACATACATCTCTACCCATTTTTGCATCGGCTTAGCCAGGCTAGACTCGCCCAGGATGGTGGATACGATGCAGCGTGAGGCTATGCATGAAACCAAGCACGCCCAATATGTGTCATGCATGCGTGGATGGGATGGAGGGGACCACTGATTTGACTTAAATGCTGAGATACGAAGATGGAGTTGGACAATACATAGCTATACTTATGGAGTAGGACAAAAACTACACGGATCTTAAAGGCATTGTGTGGTGGGTGCAGTGGCGATACATCCCGCCACCGGTAAAAGAGACTTTGCGGCCTGCAATAGGAGAATGAAGCACATACGTCTTCATTGTGCACTCTGCCAGTGAAGGTCTCATTATTGGTTAACTACTCATTGGGAGCAATATAGATAGTAACATGCATGTCATATGGGCAAAAAAGACGATGTGCCAAATAATTAAAGATGAGAGAGATAAATAGAGTAACATAATATGTTAACATCACATAGTATTTTTTAATAAAAAATAACTCTAAAAAATAATAAACGAATGTCTATATGTTATTACATATATGACGCTATCCACTACTTAGATCACTGTGACCAGCCTTATCAACCAAGAGAGTTGGTTCAAACAAACTCCAAACAACATTGTCAGTAAGAAAACGGTGTGTGCGCGTGTCTGTCCCATCTTTGATGGCGTCTGGGCCAT